CCCCCCACCCCGGGGGGCTCACCCACCCCCCCAGCCTGGTACCCGCGCCGCACGCGCCCGCCCCGCCCCCCCTTCACGGGGCCCCAAGACCGGCCCATGGCCCCATCCGCACCTCCCGGGACACCGCCGGGGCACGCCCGCGGCCGCCACCGCTCGTACCTGGCTCTCCCGGTGCTGCGCCGCCCGCTCTACCCAGAACCCGGATTCGGGTCGCGGCCCCTTTAAATGGAGGCGCCGCTCGGAGCCCTCAACGCGCTGCAAGCTGACGGGGGGGCGGCGGCGGCGCTCTATTGGCTGTGCGGAGCGAGGGACGCGCTCTGATAGGCCGCGGTGGGGCCGGGGCTCGCGAGACTCGCTCACCAGCGGCAGCCGCGGAAACGCGGAGCGGAGCACCGAGCGCGGGAGCGGCGCCACAGCCCGGATCGCCACGGGCGCCTGGAAAACCTGGGGCGGATCCGCCTGGCGGAGCGGGTCCGGTCGGGCGGGCAGCACGGAGCCGGGCGCGGGCGACGGCCGCGGTCTGGCGGGGCACGGCAGGGTGCGGGGGGGGAGCACGGCGGGGGTCGAGGGCCGGAACGGGGCGCCCCGGTTCCCGCCGGTGCCCACGCGGCCACCCGCAAAGCCCGGAGCGGATCGCACGGAATGGGCTCGCCACCCCGCTCCCCGCCCCCCCCTTAACCCTCTCGCTGCCACCTCTCCCGGCCCCAGCCCCGCTGCCGTCCCGGGGGGTCCGGTCCGGCCGCACCGCTACGGCCTCTACCTGCCCGCGGGGGGACCCACCCGGCCGAGCCCGGGCGCCGCCACCGCCTCCCCGAAGCTGGAGCGTCTCCCCGGGGCGGTGAGTGACAGCGCGGCCGGGCGGGGCTTCCGCGGGGGCCCGGGACGCGGCACCGCCCCCGGGAGGGACCGCCTGGGCCGGCGCCCCCCGCTCCCGGCACCGCCTCCCCCCGGGATCCCCCTCCCGTGCCCGGGCTGCGCTCCCGCAGCACCGCGCAGAGCCCGGCGTGCCCTTCCCCAGCCATGACAGCGCCCACCTGGCCTCGCCGCCCGCGGCACCCCCTTCCCGCTCCGTCCGTGCCCCCCGCGCCGCTCCGCCCCGCCAGGCTAGCACTCCCCGCCTCCCCGGGGGTCTCCTGCCGCCGGGACCCGGGCCCCTCCTCTCAGCGGGGCAGCACCCAGCTCTTGGCCGCCCCGCTCCACCGGGGGGCTCTCCCATCGCTCCCGCCCCCGGGAACCTGCGGTTTCGCAGCCTGCGGGCACACGGGGCTGAGCGTGGCTGGGACCCGGGGCACAGCCGCGGGAAAGCGGGCACTCCGCGAGGGCTGCGAGCCGCCCGGGGTTACCGCGCCCGGGAGCGGGCTGGCCGCGGGTGCACGGCACCTGCACCGGCGAGGCGGCGGGAAGCGGGAGGCTTTATTGCAAGGCGGCGAAACGAAACCCGCCCGAGGCACGATGTGACCGCGCTCCGGGAGCGCCCGGTGCGTTCCCAGGGGCAGGAGCCGCCTTCCTCCCCGCAGCGGGGCAGCGACGGGAACGGGGTCCGGACGACACGGGGGAGCCCACGGCTGGACGCGGCAAGCGGCGGGCACGGGGATGGGGAACGTCTGGAGGAGACCGGATCGGCACAGGGCGGCCCCGCGGCGCCGCCCGGGCTCCGGTGCTCACTGGCCGGGGCGGAGGAGCCAAGGCCGGACCCGCCCCGGTGCCATCCTGGGGGCGCGGCGGGGCGGCACGCGCTCGCCGCCGCCGCTGGCCCTTTAAAAGCGCGCGGCCCCCGCGCGCCCGCACCGCGCCTGCGCACCGCGCGCGGGGCGGCTCGCGGCGCTCCCTTTGTCCCCCGCTCGCCTCTCACCCAAGCTTGGTGTCCGCGCCGTGATTGGCAGCGCGCGCTGCCGCTCCGTTGACCAATGGGGTCCGCGCACGGCCGGCTGGTCCCGCCCCCCTACGGCGGCCGCTGTGAGTGACAGCGGGCTTGGCCAGTTAGCGGCGCGGCGGCGGGCGCCAGATGGCCAATAGGAGCTCAGGGAGAGGGGCGCCGTGTTAGGCTGCGCGAGTTCCGGCCGCGCGCTCTCCTCTCAGGGCCGCCGCGGTCCCGGTGCCCGTGTCCGTCCCGGTGTCCGTGTCCGGGGCCGGTGCCTGTCCCGGTGTCCGTGTCCCTGTCCGGTGTCGACGCCAGGTGAGGTCGCGGGGGCGGCAGGGTCGCGGCTCGGCCCCGCTCCGTCGCCGCCGGGGCCCGGCCGCGGCCTGCGCGGCCCGCCCCGCCCCTGCACGCGGGGCCCGCGGGAGCCACCCGGGACCGAGCTCCGGGCCGCTTCCCGACCGCGCGTGTGTTGCTTTTAGGTGGGGAAGATGCAGGGCAACAAGGGGTTCAACATGGAGAAGCAGAACCACGCTCCGCGCAAGCAGCACCAGCAGCACCCGCCGCCGTCCATCCCCGCGAACGGGCAGCAGGCCAACAGCCAGAGTGAGTCCCGGGCCCGCCGCGGGGGCCCGCCCGGCCCCGCTCTGGGTAGGCGCTGAGCGACCGCTTCGGTGCAGCGGGAAACCTCGGGTTAGCTGCGGCCCTCGGGGGTGCAACAGGTCTCGGCAGGAACAAAAGGAACCCGGTTTTCCGAGTTAAACCAATAAATCCGTAGATTCCCAAGCAGGCTGCAGCATCTCCTGCTAGATCAGTTTTTTTCCCTTGTTGGAAGCTACGGTTTTAATTGCGCCTGGGTTCTATTTGTGGCTTTTCTTGTGGTTTTGCTCAGTCCGCTCGAAGGAACACGCGACTCCCGTGGCGTTTGTTCGTAAGTTTTTTGTGTTCGTGAGTTTCTTGCGTTCCCAAAACCAGGGCAAGCTATATAGAGGTTCTGTCTTTGTCTCAAAATCTCAGGAAAAGATCCTTCTAGTTGGAAAGTCAATGTGTTCTTGTCAGTGTGTCTGTAAGCGTCGCGAATCTAACCAGCTCTGTCTTTCATTGTCTGGTTCCCGTTTTTTCCCCTGGCGTAACAGATGGCTTCTCAATACAGGTTTTCTTAGGAAACTAGAGACTTAAGAAGCTCGATTGCTAGAGTAGTGACTAGATTATACAGGAGGAGGAATCGGGGAAGATTATGTTGTAGTGAAAATGTTGTTGCAGCGATCTGCAGGCACCTCTTAAGACTGATTTTTTTAACGGGGCCGGTGCCTGTCCCGGTGTCCGTGTCCCTGGTCGGTGTCGACGCCAGGTGAGGTCGCGGGGGCGGCAGGGTCGCGGCTCGGCCCCGCTCCGTCGGCGTTGCTGAAAGCCGTCCTGCTCCAGCGGGTCTCCGGGTTTTCCTGGAGCGGCTGCTTGTGAGCTGGGGCAGAAGGCGTTAATGGCTTCAGGGGCCTGAACTGATCTAACCTGATGCTGTAGAAGTGGCGAGACATCTCCGTTAGCGTTTTGGGATAGGGAAAGAGTGCTTTACTTTTATTAGATGTGGATTTTTTTTTTTTTTTAAAGTTTGGACACTTTGGCGGTTGAATACAAAAAATGTGTAGAAGTCACCTGTGCACTTTGTGTGATTCCTCGGAGTGGGGTTTTTTTGTGTCAAGGATACTGGGCTGGTAAAAATCCAGCGTGTTTTTGTTAAGTGGTGGAGTTGAACGGGCTCTTTATCAGTTCCCAGACAATAACAGACAAGAGTGGCAGAGCAGCCGGTTCCAGTCAGGTTGAAAACAATAACAGTACAGCTGTACCGTGGAATTCCCACAGGAATCAGCTTGTACTGAGTGAGTGACTGTGTCTCCCTCCTTTGCATGGATCTCCTGAGGCAGAACAGTGTACTCTGTGTTCCCCTGAGAGTAACTCTGCTCCAAATACCTGGTGTTGTATCCACAGCCCTTGCAATTGATCCCCAAATACTCATAGTAATGCTGTGAACAAGGCAAAATGTTTCACTCCTGCACCTTTGCTGTGTGAAGTAGGTAACTTGCTCTGCTGCTGTTCTCTGAGCACACTCTCAGTCTGGTTATTTAGTGTTGGCCATGGGGATGTGCTTACTCCCATCAGAGGGTTGTCTTTGCTTGGACAGTCTTTCTCATTTTAGTGCCCTGTTTTGTAACTGGAATCAAGTCACTGATGTTCACAGTTTATTCCTTATGTGTGACCATGACTCGTGTCCCCTGCAAAGCAAAGGAGTTGCTTTCTGTTTCCTGTAGTCCTGTGTAGTGAAATTGCATGTGTGTTTAAGAAGGGGCACAGGGTGATAAAGTGGTGCTAAATCCACCCCTGTGTCTGGCACATAACAAAGCTTTCAGGATGATGCTGGACTCTTGCTGAATTAAGGGTTAAAGATTGTATATGCCTGTGGGGATTTGAGAATGTTACTGTTTGTGTTTATTTCTCTTGGATAGCTCAGAAAATATTTTAACCTTGGACTTGATCTCAGAGGTCTTTTCCAACTTTAAAAATCCCTTCTAGGAGAACTTACTGAATAGGGATTTTTTTTTTCCTTGTAATTTTTTCTGAGGGCTCACTTATATGGCAGGGGTTTTTTTTTTGTAATTTTGGGTTGGTATTTTTCCCCACTATTTTAACTATTCCAGTCTTCTCTTCAGCTTGGAAACTCATACTCCAGCACCCATCTCATAGAATATTATCTGTCTGAACAAAATTTCCTCTTATTTAAGTATTTTTTCTAGATACCTGGAGTTGTTTTGGTGTGTTTTTGAGTAAAAGTCTGTTTTCTGGCTAACCTGTGGCTTTTCTGTAATTATTCATGTCGTAATAGCAAAATCCTGTGTTGTGACTGCAGTTGATATTTTGGGGGCCAGTTGCCTTGACCAGATCTCAAAAAGTTTGAGTGAAATATCTGATGTTATTTCAAGTTGTGTTGTTTTCTCCAGTTCTAGACTGTCATTCACTTGTGTTAATAAGTCCTGAGGTTCAGTTTTCTTTAAAAAAAGCTGTGGGGCCATTCTAAAATAAAACCCCCCTCTTTGCTGGAGAGATGGCTGGAGAGGTTTAAGACCAAAATGAACGGATGTGTTACCTGTATTATCCTGTGTCTCTGTAGTCACTGTGATGAAACCTAATAAAATTTATCCCCCCAACTGTAGAGCAGCTGTGTACCTTATTCCCCTCAGATGAAGGCCTGACTATTGACCTGAAGAATTTCCGGAAACCCGGTGAAAAGACCTTCACCCAAAGAAGCCGCCTCTTTGTGGGGAATCTGCCCCCAGATATTACAGAGGAAGAGATGAGAAAGTTGTTTGAGAAGTATGGCAAGGCAGGGGAAGTCTTCATACACAAGGACAAAGGCTTTGGTTTTATCAGGCTGGTGAGTGACTTGGCACTTCGGGGAGTTTTGTGGTGATGGCTCACAATGCAGCAGTATTGCTAATTGAAAGTTCAGATGTCTTGCTGATTACACCTGCTGATGATCTTAGTAACCTGGAATATGGGATTAGCTTCCAAGTGATTTGTCTAGGCCTTGCTATTAGGAGACACGTGAATTTAGGCAACTTGTGGCAGGAGTTATGAGAGATCTGATAAATTTATTCTGAAATCAGTTGGTAGAAAGCAGAAAAAGAAAAACTCCACATGAATGTGATGCTATTATAGACCAAGTGAACTTTTCTATTTCTGGAATATGGCATTACTATGGGCATAGTTTGTTGTGCAGCATTTCTGGCGTGTTTAATGGTCTTGGGCTAGGGGATCTCTAGATGGTCACGTTGAAGTGTGGCTGAAGGGGAAGTAGGTACCACCATAGAGTGGTTCTCAGATTTCTGTGGCTCGTGCACCACCTTTGTTAAAGTCCTGAGGTGGGTGGATGGGGTTCCCACTCCCATATCTGGGCCACTTTCATGTAGTGCAGCTGCTTGGTACTTAATTAGATGAGTGGAAAGGTGTGAAAGTGGCATAGAAGGTCTTTAATGGATTGTCCTACTGTCAGCATTTCCTTATCAGACTTGGTTAATAGATTAATCTTGGTTGTTTTTTTTAATGTATTTGTATTTTTTTTAAAGTGCTTTATAGCCTTAATATAATTATGTGTCATAATGAACATTTCATTGTTTGCTAGTTCACACTAGCTCTTGGACTAAACTTGGGTATTTGTTATATATTTCTCACCCTCCCCGCCCCCAAACTCTGCCTGCTCAGTCATTCATGATAAGGAGTAGCTGTGCTTTTTGGCACACTTCTTACCAAGCTGTGGGAAAATCATTTATTTCTCTCAGAAGTACTTGTTGTGGAGAAATAAGCTGGCGTTGAATCCCGTGCCTTGCTGGGAGTTTTAACGCAGGCTGTTTTTATCTGCAGGAAACTCGCACTCTGGCAGAGATTGCCAAGGTGGAACTGGACAACATGCCTCTGCGCGGGAAGCAGCTCCGAGTGCGCTTTGCCTGCCACAGCGCCTCGCTGACCGTCAGGAACCTGCCTCAGTTTGTGTCCAACGAGCTCCTGGAGGAAGCCTTCTCGGTGTTTGGCCAGGTGGAAAGGGCTGTGGTTATTGTGGATGACAGAGGACGATCCTCTGGGAAAGGCATTGTGGAGTTCTCAGGGAAGCCTGCTGCTAGGAAAGCGCTGGATAGATGTAGTGATGGGTCTTTCCTGCTGACTACGTAAGTGTGGATGGAGAGAGGTGCTCTGCTGGCATGTGCAGGTTGGGTGGCGTTGGCTGGTGAGCGCTGGTTCTAACAGCACAGTGGGACAGATGGGGCACCAGGTGCTGGGGGATTGGCCCGGGGAGATTTTATTTAGCTTTGTTCCAACAAGAGACAGCCTGTGCTGAAGCTCAGGTGTGAAAACTTTCTTCAGGGAAGCTGCCGGTGGGGTAAGTGCATAAAACTTCCCAATAAACTTCTCCATAAAACAACCTTAGGGCAATTAAAGCAGCCTTTAAGAGCAGGACCTATTTCAGAGACCATCCCTGTAACTTGTTTGGAAACCGAGTGCAAGCGTGTTAATTGTGCAC